AACTCGGCCTCACCTAGGGTGGCATTTTTAAATTAAAACCTATCTTAAATAAAATTGTAACTTTCTATTATTAGAAGTCACAAGTATGAGTTTTAATAATCGGTGGGAAGGAAGTTTGATATCCCTACATAAATTAGAGTATAAATATACCAGATCGTTACAATATTATTGTATTTACACTCAAATATTTCAAATTGATTGTTTTTGTGCGACTAGATGCGTTTCAAGCGAGACAAATTAGTGTTTTCTTGCCAGTATGAGGAAAAACAGGGAGATTTTTCAGCCAGCTGGCTGACTGTGGGCAGCAATATGTGTTAAACTGCTTTAAAATTAAAAACTCTGGCACTTTTTCTGTTTCTATCCATAAAAAGTAAAAATTGACCACAGTAGTAGCAACTGGATTTAATTTATAAGGTTTGAAATGGCAGATTTAAAAAAAAAAAAACGACAACTAATCAGTGTAGGATATTTCAGTCCAAATTACATTTTTCCAGTTTTTACAAATTGATTAAATGTTTTAAACCTGCGACATTTTAAGGATTTCATAGGAAGAGTAGAATAATTTATCTGGGGAAATGCATGCTTAAGAAATTTATTTTATTAAAATCAGCAAGCAAGATATCATGTAAAGGGTATAAAAAGGCAATAAAGACATTAAAATCACTTTTTCCATTATGAGGGGAAAAACAATTAAATTGATGGTTATAGTTGCGGTTTCTTTAAAAGGAGTCAAATATCTCATGAGATGCTAATGTCTGTTTGATATTAAAAGATGTGAAATCTTTTTTTTCTCACAAAGATTAATTTTGTATCTGATTTATTCTGTAGCTTTTTCTTTTTATGGTCATAAAAAAATTTCAGTTTTTTTCTTTAAATTATTTTACATCTCTATTAGGTAAGAACTGAATTTGTTCTGTATTTAAATTTTGATTTTTATTCATTATTTTATTTATTCATTTTAAAATCCATGGTGTAATGCTGCTTTGTTTCCAGCAGAGGGCGCCACTGCACAACATTTCTCCCAGCATCCATTAGATTTTAGATTCTGGGATTTTTCTGGAAAGAAGTCATAAAGTATTAAAAAAAGACTAATTTAGTTTTTAACATTAGTTTCAGATTGTATTGTCCAGCAGAGTCGTCTAATCTGACCTTTGACCCTGAGTTTGTTACAAAAGCTGCTTCTGTTAACGGTTTGAACAAAATGGATCTGATTTCAGTTCAATGAGACACAGAAATGTTTTTCTTGGTTTTTATGCTGAGTCTAGGTTGCTGACTTGTTCAAGTTTTATCTGTTCTGTGGATAAAATTAGACTTTGTTTCATAATTTTCTGTAACGGTGAGTCAGCGCTCTGAAACATCCACTGTGTGGTTTGGTTTTAGTGCTTTTGGCGCCTCCTGCAGGAAGACACAGCTCCTTGTTTTACCTGAATTTGACAGATTATTGTTCTCCCATCTAAAGGGATCGAAATATGGAATTTTCCTCCTTTTTGTGGGAATTGTTTGTTTATGATTTCATTAAATAAGTGGAAAAAGCCTGGGATTATAACTGGGGCTTTCTGAGCTACTCACTTTTCTTAACTGAGCCTTAAATTCCCACCAGTTTTTCCTGTTTTAATTTATGTATTTTTTACCCTTATCTCTGAAAATACCATTTTTATTCTGGTAGAATCTGATAAACAGTTAAGTCTTACTCTAAAGGGCTTACATGGATTCTGTGTTCAAAATGTAACTTTAAAAGAACAAAAAGCAGAAGCTGGAGTTTAAGTTGCTTCCAAACATCCGTGTTGTAGCATTAGCTTGTAGCGTTAGCACAGCTAGCATGGGGCATCATTAGCATTTCCTGTCCATCTGCTTCAGAGAGAGAGTTTCTTCAAATAACGCTGCTTCCTTTTTATATCTGAAGGTTTTTATCCATGTCTTTATGTGGCGTCTAAAAATAAACCCAGAGTAGATTTTTTCCCCCTGCAGCTTCCTGGTTCTTTTTCTTCTTGTAAATAATTAGTTTAAGTCGCATCCTGTGATTCTGATCCTCATCAGAGGAAACGTTTATGTAATGACTCTCGACATTCAGAGGAAAAGCTTTCGCTGATTTATTCTCAGATTATTCATCTGCGTCTTCAAACTGCTTTATATGTAAACGCAACAGTTTTGTAATAAAATATAATCTAATGTCTGATTAAAAGCCCAAATCTGTAAAACATTACTTAGTTGAAACCAGATAAAACAAACTTTTTTTTTTCTCAGTGTCTGAAGTTAAATCAGATTACATTTTTCTTATTTTAGGTCAGTTAGGATTAATAAAATTATTTATATTTGCTAAATACTACAAAACTTGGTGAAAACACATTTTAGAGAATTTTTTGTGACTTTCTTTGTATTTTATATTTAAGCGTTTACCTTAATTTGTTTGGATACTTTCAATGTAATATTTAATGACTCATTGATTTGTTGATCTGAAATACAGGTTGGTTTATATCAGGGTGTCCAAAGTGTGGTCCGGGGGCCATTTGTGGCCCTCTTGATGGATTTTAAGTGGCCCCCGATCCCATTGGTTGATACAGAAGAAGATTTAAAGAAATATTACAATAAAACAACAAAAACATCCAAACAACTTTTACTACAACTAAAAACCAATCGACCCAAATGCCCGTCTTATCGTTTTGAACATACCGTCATTTATGGATCAGTTTTTCACCAAATTATGACATTTTTTAAATTCATTTCTGAGCTTTAAATAAAACTCGTCAAATGGGATCTTTTTTAAATTTTTGGTCCATTTTCTTACTGCATTTTTAAGAGAGTGAAGCCATTTAAAAAGTTATTCACTTAGAAATATTAAGTTTTGTTTAAAATATCTTTTTTAAGCCTAAAACATAAATAATTTTAAAGAAAAAATATTTTTAAGCAAAAATAAAATCAGTGTTTTTAATTTTTTATTTATGAAAAAATCAGCAGTTAGAATAAAAGAAGGTATAGTACATTTTAAATTAACTCTAAATGAGCGGCCCTCAGAGAAAGAAACTAGATTTTTTTGTTATTTATTTTTAAATTTCTGTGTTCTTGGACCAATCAGACATTTAACATGAAATGTTTTTATATTTTATCTGTTTTATCCCTGCTGTAGAGTGTAGAACACCACAGCAACACCTTAGCAATACCAGTAATAAATAACACTAATTATTTATTTATTTGTATCTCTGAATTGCGGTGCTGTAAAAGTTTCCAAACTTCCCTCTGAAGTGGTGGGAAGAGCTGGAGTTTTCCTGCGCTGAGCGTTTGAACGCAGCCCAGAAGTCGGAGCGTCTCTGCTTCCACTTCCTGCAGACGGTGGGATTTGTGCTGAATGTAGGCCAGCAGAATCCCGCTTACGTCAAAGGCAGGGAGAGAGCTGCTGCTGCTGCTGCTGCAGCTGCAGATGTGTGCAGATGTGGTCATGGAGGCTGTGGCGCACATCGATCTGAACCAGGACACACGCGGGTAGGAAGCCACCATGAAGACCGTCCTCAGCCTGCACAGGAAATGGGCGCACGCCGTCAAGACCATCCGCATCCTGCAGGGACTTGTGAGTGCCGCTCCGTCGCCGCGGCGACCCGGTTTGGGTCCGAGTCGCGCCGCTGGACCCGGCTGGTCATGGAGGCTGTGTGATGGAGAAGGAAGGGATTTGGGTTTAGAAAATATTTGAGGTTCTGCATTGAAAGTTTTGATTTCATTTAATCCCAACATGAATTTTGCCTCTAATTTCTCTCTGTAACCTGTTTAATCTTAATCTTTAGTGTTTTTGAAAATCTATTTCACACAGATTGACCAGTCAGGTTTTTCTCTGTACTGATTTCTGGAGCTTTTAAGTCAGAAAAAGTCAAACTGCAGATTTCTCTCTGTGGTGATTTCACTGTCTGCTGTCTTTCACATACATTTAGTGAAAATCTTGAAAACTTGAGTTTCTGGTTTCTAGATCCTCACCCAGGTTTCCTACCTGCTGCTCAGGTGGTTGAACTGCTGCTTGTTTTAAGTGAGGCCATGTTTTGGAGGCGGATAAGTGGAATTTAATTTTCTTTTACAAAGAAAATGTATAGTTTTTATTTTTTGCTTCTATTTTTTAAGACAAAAAGCTGATAATTTTGTTAAGGGAAACCTTTTTTTTAATTTTATTTTTCATGGGGGGAAAATAACTTTTCTTAAACAAAAAATTCTGTATTTTTATTCAATACTTTTAACAATTTTTTTATTTTTAAAGACGGGAAATCAGTTCCTGTCATTTTTTTTTTTAGAGGAAAATGTTTATTTTATTTTTCTTGGAAAAAATCTAATTGTTTTTTGTTCCTTTTTAAATTTTTTTGTTTTACAGTTCATATTTAATTTTTTTTCACATTTCATTTAAACAAATATGATGGAATTTCCCTTTGAGAACTGACGACTTGCTGAATAATTGATCATTTATTCAGACGGAAGTTTTTCTTGTGCTGCTAAAACATCGACTCTGGTTTTAATGCAAATCCTCAAAATGTTTGCTTGAATTGACACATAAATTAAAAATATTTTAAAATGCTCTTCACTTTAGTCACAAGAAAACTTAATGAATGCTGATTTTGTCCTGTGAAGAAAGAAGCTTCAGTTGTGATGTAGAAAAATTCAGATTTCTGTTCTTTTGAAAAGTATTTTGATAGTTTGAAAATGTTACAAAAGTTAAATTACTGTTAGCAGCTTCATTCAGACGCACCGATCAGATTTTTTTCTAGCTGATCTGAACCGATATTTCTCTCCTAAAAAGTTCTTTAAGTTTCCAGCCGAGTGTTGCATGATGTATCGCTCCATATGCTGGAGTGAGAAATCGTCTGGTTCTGATCTGTGGCCGGTTGGTCGGTGGGTCTCCAGCTGGGAGCGGTCCGCCGCCGTTCCTCTGGTTGTGTAACGACAGGCCCAGTGGAGCGGCTTTGTTGGTTACATCACAGAATGCATTATTAATCTGAGTCTGAAATGGAAATGTTTGTGTTGTTCCCCAGAACCCGGTCATGGAGCAGACGGTGTGGGAGCAGTACACCGTGACCCTGCAGAGGGTGAGTCCCAGACGCCGCCATCTTTACATTATTCACCACAGAGACGCTCTGAGTGCTGATGAATTATTACTGAGTGACGGCTAAAGATGGACACGCTTTCACTTTTCTTTTCTTGTAAAAGCAGAAGATGACGCATGTTCAGGCCGGTGAACACGACAAACTTTACTGGACCATAAATGGTCCCATTAGTTTATGTTGTTGTTTTGAGACCATTTTCAGCTAATATAATGGAAATGGCAAAATAATAAAGCAAGAACACAATCAGAGATCAACAAACTTTAATTTCCAATGAGCATTTAAAACTGCAACTGGAAGAAATATCCAGATCTAAACTAATTGGAGCATCTTTAACGCTCTAAATCTGAACAGTTTCAAACTGTATAAATATCCAAAGTAAATAAAACAGAAATAAAAATAAAATGAATTATGAAGTCTCTGTAAACAAAATTATCCTTCAAAGAAAGTTTAGTTGACACCAAACTGAAGACTTTTACCATCCAGGTTTTGGTAGAAAAGAAAAAAAAGATGATAAATCATGAAAATTTAAATTATTGAGCTTGTTTTAATTTATCATTTGATTTATTGATAATCATATCAGGCCTCTGCATGGTTTTGACTGTGAACACGTGCAGGACAAACGGAGCTGATTTAATGCAGGAAACGTTTTTCTTTTTTTTTCCTACCCCTCCCCTCCGGCAGCCAGCTGTCGCTCTCCTGCCGTTCATTATCTGATGCCTCAATGCTGCGTGATATTTGTTGGATTAGAGTCATCAGGTGAGGCGGGCGGCTTCGCTCTCCCTGCTGGATCAAAATAAATGACCAAACGACACCCAGTTTACTGTTTTATGTTAACAGTAATCCCCTTGAGACGGCGTTTCTCTCAAACTATTTCAGTTTAATACAGTGAGGCTGTTTTCACACCTGATGGTTCGGTAGATTCGGTTTGATTGGGGACCAAAATTGCAACATTTGTTAAATTTTTCAGCTGCTGCCGTTGTTTCACTTTGCACCGAGTCAAACAAACCAAACTAATTGAAAAACCTGTTCCCCTCCTGGCCTGTGGGGGCGCTGCACCAAGAACCACTGAAGGAAACGTCACAAATCTCACACTGGGCACAACTTCCTGCTTCACAAAATGTAAACAGAAATGGATTAGCATCAGATTTTAGCGGTGTTAGGATTCCTCCATTAATATAAACTACTGGTTTGGACGTTAGCCGCTAACGCTAGCGACGCTCCTGCAGGCGGCCATTACTGAGACTCACTGAGTCATGTCCACAAAACCAGACTGTGGCAACATGAGGAGGAATCTGTCACTGAAATGGTCGCAGTGCCTTTATTTCTTACTCGGTTTCTGTAAAATATGGCTTAAATTAAAGATGAGAAAATGGCTGATGGGTTTTATTCATAAAATATTTATTCTCTCTGGATATAAATAAATCTATAAACAGTTTGGATTCTGCTAAGATGCCAGAGATGACTAAGCAAATTTCTCTTGTACATTGGTAAATAATTTAAAATTGAACAGAAAACGGCTTATATACTTTAGGAAATACTTCATCCTATTTGATCGTATAAATATCACCAAGTTCCACAAACAAGTTAATTAATATTCCAGTTGTTTTATTGAATGTTTAAAAATAATAGCGGCTGATAAACGAGGTGGAAAATAACTTTAAACCGTTTATATTCTGCTTTTCCTCACTGTTTGGGTTGGCTTTATGCTACATGAATATCTGTCACCATGACAACCGACACAACACCTCCACTAACCTCCAGTTAAACTGGATACACGCCCAGAATGGCCTGTAGTTGGTTTCCTGCTTCGGAGCGATCTCTGGTCCGCTCAGCGTCAGAGTTCAGTTCAACCCAACCAGACTGAGGTTTTTAATCTGAACCATTTAAAGTGTTTTCTTTACCGTTGGTGGAAGGACGAAACCAAAATGGCGGCTCGTCTTCTGTCTCTGCGCTCTCTCTCCCTCCCTCTGCTCGATCGGCCATCTGCTAGAGACGGAGGGAAGCGCTGAATTGTTTTTATAAATGGTTCAGATTGAAGGGAGGGATAAAGAGGCGAGGTCATCAAATCTCCAACTTAATCTCATCTGGTGGGAAAACCGGTTCATCACCAGGTGGAACAAAAACCAGATTAAACCGGGTCGTTGGTGGAAGAACACTTTTCTCCTGGAAATGGTTCTAAATGTTTAAAGTATTTGTTTTTTTCCCAGGATTCCAAAATGGGTTTTGGGATCGCGGTTTCAGGAGGACGGGACAACCCGAACGAGGACACGGGCGAGACGTCCATCGTGGTGTCGGACGTCCTGCAGGGCGGCCCGGCAGAGGGGCTGCTGTTGTGAGTGTCATGTCAGAGGGTCTGGGTCGGACCCGTGTGTGTGTTTCAGAGCGCTGACCCGTGTGTGTGTTTCAGTGAGAAGGACCGCGTGGTTCTGGTGAACAACACGCCCATGGAGGGAGCGCTGCACTCCTTCGCTGTTCAGACCCTCAGGAAATGTGGCAAAACGGCCAAAATCGTAAGAATGACATCAAAACTCAGAGCTACACTGGATTCATCCATCTGTCCTCGTTTCCTTCCTTCATGTCTCCTTATTTGTTCTTATTGACTTATTTGCTCTTGTATCCTTCCTTCCTTCTTTATTTCTTTTCCTCCCTTGCTTTTATTTCCTTCCTTCCTTTCTTACTTGTATCCTTTCTTTCTTTTTCCTTTTTTCTTACTTCTTTTCTCTCTCTCTTACTTTCTTCTGCCCTCCTTTCACACCCTTCTTCTTTCCTTTCCTTTACTCTTTCCTTCCTTGATGTATCCTTATTTCATGTTTTCTTAATTCCTTTGCCATTGTTTCCTAGATGTTTCCTTACCTTGCTCTTACCTCATATGAGGAGGACACAGGCCCGCCTCGACTGTCTCCTCCCTTCTTTCTTCATGGTTCCTTTCATACTATGCTTATTTCCTTCCTTTATTTGTCCTCGTTTCCCTCCTTCTTTCCTTCCTTTATCCTTTGCTTTTGTTTCCTTTCTTCCTTTGTTGTTAGAACTCATATTTCTCTCTTCCTGGCCACTAAATGTAGTATTTCACTATGCTATTACTGTGTTGTTGCCATGGTAACATCGACAGTTGTTTTTGTTGTGTGAGGAAAAATGCAGAACTTGGTTACATAGATTGGCCCTAATAGACGATTTCTGCTCGGACTGCTTGTTGTTTTTCTAGTCCTGCTTTCACAGAAAACTGGAAAGTTCTGTTGGATCCGTGACTTAAAGGAACTGTGCTGTTGCCGTGGCAACATCCACAAACTGCGAGGTTTCTCTCACCGTTTCTCTTCTTCTTCCTCTTCTTCTTCTGCAGACGGTCAAGCGCGGCAAGAGGGTCCCGGTTAGCGTGATGCCCCGGCCCGCCTCGCCTGAGGTCTTCAGCAACGACAACTACAGCGACTACAACTACGAACCGGACCGCCGCAGCATGACCAGCGGCCGCGACAACAGCCTGGAGCGCCGCGGCTACGACGACCGGGACTACGACCGGAACTATGACCGCGGCAGGAGCGCCGAGCGCAACCTGAGCCCCAACCGGGGCTACCGGCGCGATGGCAGCAGGGGCCGCACGTTGGACCGCGACTACAGCCCGGACCGCCGCTATCGCAGCGAGCGAACCCTGGACCGCGACTATAGCCCAGACCGCCGCTACCGCAGCGAGCGAGCCTTGGACCGCGCCCCGAGCCCGGAGCCGCGCTACCGCAGCGAGCGAGCCTTGGACCGCGACTATAGCCCAGACCGCCGCTACCGCAGCGAGCGAGCCTTGGACCGCGCCCCGAGCCCGGAGCCGCGCTACGGCCGGGACGGCTATAGCCCCGGAAGAGGCCAGAGGCGCGACCCGAGCTTCGAACGCGGCCGGGACCGAGACCGGGACCCGAGGTACAACGAGCCGGTCCGGAGGACGGCCAGCAGAGATCGCCTGGATCGCTCACCATCGCCCCCTGCTGCTCCCATCCCACTGCCCCGGCCGGGCCGCGACCAGGAGCCGCTGGAGAAACCCGTCAACGTGCTGCTGCTGAAGAACCATCCCAACGAAGGTGAGCGGCCCGAACTCTGCAGAACAACACGATCTGTCCACGGTTCTAATGGTCTCAGCTTTGGTCCATGAAACGATTAATCATGATTAATCGATTATTGAAATAATTAATCGCTAACTGGACTAAACAAACTTTTAAAAAAGGCCATTTGCTGAAAGAACAACACATTAAGAGCAATAACTGAGACAGAAATGTAAAAAAGTCGTGATGGTTTTTGACTTTTCAGTCAGGCAAAAAGCTTGTTGCACACAAACATCATGATTGCGTTCTGTGGCTCGAGGCAGTTAGGCTACCGCTAACTAGCTGCTAACAAACCCCTGTTTGCTAATTAGCTAGTCTTTTTTGTGTCTACGATGCAGAGACTCTCAGTACTCTATTGATTGTTTTGTCAATTAATCAAGTAATTGGGAAAACAATATACTTGTTAAGTTCTGGGGAATCCACATTTTATGATTATTACAATCCCCCAAAAAAGACATTTAAGTAAACAACCAATTTAATTCCATTTTAAATAAACATTATATTGCTTAAAATGCTATAATCTTATATCTATTGGACACCATTACATTAATTGCTGCACAGTTGTTGTTTTTTGACACAACCTGGCTAACACCCAGGTTGTTGGCCACTATGATTAGTTGCCACATGTAACATTAGCTAAAATTTTCCTCCTAGATAATTCTGCTTTGCACTGTTTAATTTAATTTAAAATGTTTCCACTTTTTTGACCGTTTGTCGTTTTCTAGCCATTTCTTTTTTGGTTTTCCTTCACATCTAAAAATAGCACTTAGCTTAGCATACACACGTCAGCGTCGTTCTGGGTCCAGATCTTCAGAACAGAATGGAGATGCTCATTAAAATAAAACCTGAGAGGTTAATTAGCGGCGACTGGCCTTCATCTCTTCCTTTGAATCTGATTTAGTTGCTGACAGATTAGCAGAGCAGCAGCTCAGATGTTTGATTAAAGCTAAGCTCATAAAACGAGATTATTACAGTAAAACTAAGGATTAGGTTTAATGTAGTTTTTTCAACATATTAATAGTTTTATCCAGTCTCCAGTGGTGATTCTTCTGATGCAAATAATGAATTTACTGAAGTATTAAAGGGAAAAAAAGAAGATTTTTAGCCTAGTTGGCTCCAGATGGGATTAAAACTCTTAAACCAGGAGGGATTTATGCAGAAATGGTCATTTATATGAACACTTTAATAAGTTTAAATGTGACTTCCTCTACTTTTAAATCTTCCAAAATGTAAAATTTTCTCATCTCCAAGTCTGACATTAAATGTTTTGGGACCCGAGGATAAAGAGTTTTTCTTTACTTTCATTTCTCCAAAAATAATGATGCATTAAATTTTTATGAAATTATTCATCTTGGACAAAACAGGCATAAAAACACAAAAAAGACTTAAAGACAATGAGAAGCTTTACATCCATTTCTAGAGGTTGAAAATATTTCAGTATTTACTGCAGGCTGCTGCTCTAAACTAAAACCTTTAATCAGCAGGAAATTATTCTCCTTCCTCACTAAGTATGTTCAAATCAAAGGCTGAAATTTCTATATTTCTCAGGGTAAAACAATACTTTTCCAAAATAATTATTTAGTTTTTTTCCAGATTCATACCAGATTTGTCTTTAAAATGTGACGTGTGTGTAAGCTTGTCCAGGTTTGACATCAGAGTGAATGTGAAATGTTTGTGATCTCGTCCTGCAGAGTACGGCCTGCGCCTGGGCAGCCAGCTCTTCATCAAGGAGATGACGAGCAGCGGCCTGGCCGGCAGAGACGGGAACCTGCAGGAGGGAGACATCATCCTGAAGGTGGGACCTCAGAGAGGCAGGGAGGGGAATTCATGATCAGAGTTTATTCAGCTGCTACAAAAACAGAATCACCCAGAAAACAAGAATAAACAGAGAGAGAGAGATTACTCCTCATTCTTTATCTGGTTTTTCTTTTACTATCTATAAACTCAACTGGTCTCTCCTCCTCTCTGACCTCTGACCTCTGTCCCTCCTCCCTCAGATCAACGGCACGGTGACGGAGAACCTCTCCCTCGGCGACGCCGGGAAGCTGATCGAGAAGTCTCGCGGCCGGCTGCAGCTGGTGGTTCAGCGCGACCGCCGCCAGATCCTGATCCGCATCCCGCCGATGGTGGACAGCGACTCGGAGCTCGATGGTGAGAGACCCTCCAAACTGAAAACCAGCAGGACCTACCCGGTGTGAATGCTCGCCGCCGCCGCCATCATCATCATCACCGCCATCATCATAGACATACTTTTAAATCGCTTAAGAGAGAAAAATAACCCAGCGCATGTGAACTTCCATTTGTGAAGAAGTTGTTGCCAATAATGTTGCTGTAACTTGTTTTACGCTCATCAAATAAAAGCTTTTACTTTTACTCTCATCCGCTTTTAGTCGTATTTAAATATTCAAATATTCACTCCATGCAGCAGCAGCAGCTCCTCTTTTTATACCTGGTTTTTTTGGGGTCACATGACCCAGACGGAGGACTCTGATTGGTCCAGCGTGACCCACTTTGTCTGGTTTGTGTCTTCATGTGTGAAAGTGTTCATTCCCCTCCAGCAGGGTGATCTAATCCCAGATTATAATCCTGCTGTTGGATTTCCACAATACAAGGATTTTTTTGTTATTTCTTTTTAGCTCCCAAACATCATCCATCCACTTCATTTTTTTCCCCTGCACTGCAGAAACACAAAAAGTATTTTTGCTTAGTTTCTTGTGTGGATATTTTAACACTCTTGAAATAAGACAAATCTAACTTTAAAAGTAACTTTTCAGCAAGATATAGCAGCTTGTTTTATTCCTAAATATTGACAAAAATGTGCTTGTTTCATTGATGATTTCAATAAGACATTTTCCCATGTTATAACTGAAATAACAACCAGAGTAAAATCTTATTTTCCACAAATGATTTTGTGCAAGAAAAGAATGTAGTGAACATATTTTGTGTGGTCCAGTCTTTGGTTGCTAGATGACGGTGGAATTCCACTGGGGTTGCTGGGTAACGGGCGGAACTCTACTGGGGTTGCTAGGTAACGGGCAGATTTTTTTTTTCCCATAGGTGAAATAATCTGCCAATGGAACCAGAACATTTTTGTCAATATTAAGAAATTATTCACTTAAAACAAGCTCCTGTGTCTTGGAGAAAAGTTATTTAGTTTTCTCTTATTTCAAGTGTATTAATATATTTACACTAGGAAATAGACCAAAAATACTTGGTCATATTTTGTGTTTTTGCAGTGTGCTGCTGTCATTGTCTGATGCTTTTCAGTTTAAGATCCACAGATCTGCTTATGCTTGTAATTTAGTCGGGGACGTTCGATTTCGAAACAGGTGAATCTGTTTTGCGTCTGTGTTTCAGTTTCTCGTTGGGCTGCAGGAAAGAGACATTTTTCACTTCGTCTGTCATGTTTTTTGCAGATATCTCTGAGATCGAGTCGTACCGCTCTTACTCTCCACAGGAGCGAGGTCATCCCTCCGACCTTTCCTCACACTCGTCCAATGAGAGGCTTCGAGACAAACCCAGGTACGCTGTCATGCAGCCAAACGCGGCTCGCTTTGGTCTATTTTCAGCGTCTTAAAATAACACAGTTCAGCTTTGATTCACATATTCAAAGTAAGGAATAACCTGCTAAATACAGCTGTAAAAAGATGTTGTATTCTCTCTGTTTGGCAGTAATACTTTTATCTATTTCAGGTCAGTTAGCATTGTCAAAATTAGTGACACAATGTTGGTGGCAACAGCTAAAATGACGGCAAAAAACTGTTATTTGTGGTTCAAGTTCTCGTGGGTCAGAACACGACCTTGTGGTACTCCTAAAGATGTTTGAGTTTTAAAATATTCGTTTTTCTCATATTATGACTTTATTATGGTCATTTATTTATTTTCGTATTACAAGTTTATTCTCATTGTTACAACTTTATTCTTTTATCACAAACATTTTATTCTCATAACATGACTTATGTTCTTGTGTAATACTTATTCGTAGCATTTCCTGCTAACTTTTATTTTTTTTTATTTCAGAGACGATCCTTCTAGCAGGTTGGCGAAAATGGGCGCGATGCCGACGCCTCTCAAAAGTCTGGAGAGGCATGAAGATTCCTCCCCTTTGCCGCCAGAGAGGGATGAAACTCGATCTGTGTCGCCGCCAGGTAAATGTCTTTCTGCTTCTGAAGATGTTAAAACAAGCTGATTAAAGCACAATATGGCTGATCTGATCGTTTTACCGTTTTCATTCGCAGCAGCAGCAGCTGTCGCCCCAAGAGTTCAGGTTCCTCCAAAAGTCCCACTGAAGCCGAGCTTGGAGGATCAGGAAGTCTACGGGTCAGTAGTTTACATTTTTTTATATTTTGTAACTGAACTGAAACGCCAAATTCCACAGCACATCTACATGTTCAGGTTGTCATAGTCAAGCTAGCATAGCTGACCTGCTTCTCTCTTCCTTGCCATTTCTTTTCTCTCAAAACTTTTTCCTGATCTTATCTAGTTGTAGTGTTGATAATTAGTAGCAAAGCACTGTGTCCCTTTTTCTTTTATACATCAGGCGTTCATTTAAGATTTAGCACGTTATGCTAACAGCTAAAACCAATGGTAGTCATCTTAAGCCAGCAGCTTTTTGTCCCTCAGCCAGATCGGTCTGTATGAGCAATTAAAGGAGAATTTGTCTGTTTTTCTGAACTTGACTGTTTTCGAAACAAAAGGCCGAACACGATAATGGTGCGCTTCAAGAAGGGCGACAGCGTCGGGCTGCGGCTCGCCGGAGGGAACGATGTCGGCATCTTCATTGCCGGCGTTCAGGAGGACAGTGCGGCCGAGCAGGAGGGTCTTCGGACCGGAGATCAGATCGTCAAGGTGCCGCTTTTAGGTCCTCATCTTCCAACGTTCGCATGGAATCTAATGAAAACCCTTCAGTGACTTTCTGGTCTCTGTTTCAGGTGAACAGCGTTGACTTCAGAGGGATGGTGCGTGAAGACGCCGTCCTCTACCTGCTGGACATCCCAAAAGGAGAAGACGTGACCATCCTGGCTCAGAGCAAACCAGAAGGTACGAACACAGAAATAAAACTCCAGTAAGAGCAAAAAATGATGTGGTAAAAGGTCGACTCAAGCACTGAGTAACTGATCAAATTATCAATCATTTAATATTTAAAAATTACATAATGAGACGGAACAAAATGTAAAGTTGAAATTTTTGTATTTTAAAGACCAAAATGACAATAGTTCATTTAAGTAGCAGAATTTCAAAATACATTTTTTTCTAAAAAATGTTTTTCAAAATTATGAAACTTGAACAAAACCTGCAGGTGTGTCTGTGTCTGGTGACATTTTGGTTAAACATGTTTGTTTTTCATTCAGTGGGTGGAAAATCCAGAAAATTTACTAAAGTAAAAATAAGAACTTCTCCATCCAAGCCCAACAAATTCACTTCCACAACTGGAGCATTACAGCTTTCACTATAATGTTTATATATAAAACTTTATTACAGGGTGTTTGCACATCCCTAACAAGTTTTAAATTAATTTAACTGAAATTTAGGCCTTAAAATGTCTTAAATTCAGGGGGGGAAATGTAAGTTGGCCTTAAATATTTTAATCACAGTTCTTAAAAGTTGTCTTGGCAGAAATATTTAATGTTGTAGTGACTTTTTCACCAAGCAAATGTGTGAGACGCACAGATTTTTTTTTACATTTTGTAGCTTCATGTTGTTGATGCTACAGCTAACTAGCTGCTAATATACCTTGCTAGCTTGCTAGCTATTTAGCGCATATCCTGGAAAATTGTAATCGTCAGTTGATTGGTTGGCATTTGTCTTTGATGCTATATGCTTGGCACTAATACAATACATTAGTTTCCCTTTGTACCTTTTTGTTGTACAGGCCTTAAATTTCATTCATAAAGGTCTTAAAAAAGATGGTGAAACCTGCAGAAACCCTGTTTCAGAAACTGCTTTGGATTTATTTGACATATAAACTCAAAGGCAAAGGAGAAAAAAGTAGAGAGAATACAAGATAACGTGTTAAAAGTCTGTTTGTAAACCTGCAGAAAGAGAAAAACAGAGAAACCTCAATAAGAAGCTTGTATAACTAATGTTACTGAAACGTACATGGAACCAATACAACGCATCTGTGGATCCAAGATGATTTTTGTTTTTCTGGCTTCAGTGTATGAAGACGTTCTGGCATCCGGACGCGGCGACTCGTTCTACATCAGGACCCACTTTGAGTACGAGAAGGAGGCGCCGCAGAGCCTCCCGTTCGGCAGGGGAGAGATCTTCAAGGTCACCGACACGCTGTACGACGGCAAGCTGGGCCACTGGCTGGCCATCCGCATGGACCAGGACAACCAGTCGCCCGAAGTGAAAAAGGGAATCATCCCCAACAAGAGCAGGTGGGCGGTCAGAGAAACGCGTCTGAGCCGTGAACCTGTCAGTGCAGAAAACCTCTGAAAGTCTCTGTTTGTGTCTCAGAGCTGAACAAATGGCCAACGTGCAGAACGCTGCCAGAGCGGCGTCAGGCAACGACAGAGGAGACTTCTGGAGGCTGAGAGGTCAAAGGGCGGCGAAGAAGAAAGACCTGCGGAAGAGCCGGGAGGACCTGAGCACCGCGCCGGTCACCACCAAGTTCCCCGCGTACGAGAGAGTGGTGCTCCGAGAAGGTAGGAAACGTTTCCTCCCATGTTCTCCTGCTGGCGACGGTAAACCCTGACATCCAGTTTGTTTGCAGCTGGTTTCAGGAGGCCGGTGGTCATATTCGGACCGATTTCCGACGTAGTGAACGAGAAACTGGCCAACGACCTTCCCAACGAGTTTATTATTGCCAGTAAGTATCGTCCAAACTTGCTTCTGTTAGAAACCGTTCAAAGTAACAACTGCTGCACTTTGTTCAAATAAAAATACAATTTGGATTCTTCAAGGATGTTGTAATTGTGAATTTATGGTAATTACAATTAATTCCAGTGCTTATGAAGAACATTTTAGCATTTACTATCAGCAATAAATCAATAATTTCTGTTTTGTTGGTCAGGAATCCTCAAAAAGACCTTCGACCTCTGATTAATGTGTCTCAATAATATTTCACCTGCTGGTTTTGATTTAGGCTGATTACAGTTTCTGCTTTGGAAAGATGCAAAAATATGGAGCTAAATTGGGGCCATGAAATTTGGAATGAATACATAACAATAAAACATAAAAATGGGAAATAAGGAAAAGTAAATAAAACAATTCTAGCCGTTTTGTTTTCAGTTTAAATTTTTTCTGGGGAAAAAAAGAAATTCATGTTTTTGTATTAAATTCAAAACAGAAATTGTCAACTATGACACAAGGATATGGAGGTAAATTGGAAAAAGATTTAACTAAGAATTAAAACTGAAAAGAAATTCAAAACTTTATTTTGCTGTTTTCCGTTCAGCCTTCCTGTTATCAGATGGACATTTTTCTCTCTCGCTTTAAATGAACTACAGACATTGTTACTGTAGAAACTCATTTTTTTTATTATTCAAAATTAACTTTATGGTTTATACCAAAGTTTATTTTAAACTTAAAACCTTCTGTGTTTCAGAAACTGAGCCCAAAGACGCTGGAAGTGAGAAATCCTCTGGAGTGGTGAGACTGAACACCATCCGAGAAATCATTGAGCAGGTAGTTGGTTTATTTTTTATCACTTTTAGCTCAAAGTCTTTTTTTGGTGGAAATAAAATCCTGAAACGCGGCGTCGTGTAGGACCTCCACGCGCTGCTGGACGTCACCCCCAAAGCCGTGGACACGTTGAACTACACCCAGTGGTATCCCATCGTGGTTTTCCTGAACCCGGACAGCAAGCAGGGCGTCAAAACCATGAGGACCCGCCTGATACCCGGATCCAACCGCAGCGCGCGGAAGCTGTACGAGCAGGCGGTGCGGCTGAAGAAGACCTGCTCCCACCTCTTCACCGGTCAGTGGCGCCTCAGAGCGAAGCATTTCAAACTTTCTGTCCGATTCGCTCACTGTTGATGCTCCTGTTTGTTGGGAATCCAGCGACCATCGACCTGAACTCGTCGAATGACGCCTGGTACGGCAGCGTGAAGGACTCGATCCGGGAGCAGCAGCAGAAAGCCGTGTGGGTGTCGGAGGGGAAGGTGAGTCGAAAGAAAGAAATCAGAATATCATCTAATTTATTAGAAATATGCACAGACAGACATGTTACTGCTAACACTGAATCCACACGTATTGATGGAAGGTTTAGTGGAAGGAAAAAGTCTAATCACAGAAATTACAAACCATCAAATCATAAAATTGCTGAAAATATCAGTCTAAATTTTTAAGTAGTTGAAGACGACAAAAACAAAGTCTGTTGGATTTTAAGGTTTTTGATTTGTTTCATTTTGGGAAAATTAGAAAAAATTAAATATGTGGGAAATTAAAAGCGTCGACACCAGGATTCAAATCAGCCATATCTGAAACTAGATGAATAGATTGGTAAATAAATTAATACAAGTGCTTAAGTAGCTGGAAGTGGTTGGTCGTTTTTAAAATTCTGTTAAAATTAACTATGAAACTGACATTTTACTGGACTAAAATGATCTGTTTTTATCTAACAACCAGGTGTAAAATGAGCCTAAAGTATAGATAATTAAATGGCTGAAGTATTTAAACTTTAAAGGAAAAGTGATTAGTTTAATTTCAGCAAAATTAGACATAAATGTTGAATATCTTTTAAGTTGTAAAACAAATTGACAAAAAAATCAATGTAGTTTTGTCTGGAATGAGCTGAAAATGTTGGTGATTAAATGGTTTAAGTTGCTGAAAATGGCTGAAGCAGTTCAGCTATAATGAAAACAAAGATTTTATTTCAATTCTAAAATTTTGTTTTGGCAAAACATGTGAAAGTTAAATATTTTAGAAAGTAAAACATCAACCACAACATTGTAAATTAATATTAATGAAGTGATTTCATTCAAATTCCACCAGGATTTTGTATCTGAGTTTTGAAATAAATAAGTTTCTGATTAATTTCCCCTGCAGATGGACGGGTCAGAGGAGGACCTGGACCTTCAGGACGACCGCATGTCCTACCTGTCGGCCATGAGCGCCGACTACCTGAGCATGGACAGCCGCCTCACCAGCGACTACGACGACACGGCGGACGAGGGCGGGGCTTACACCGACAACGAGCTGGACGAGCCGCTGGACGACCCCACGCCCGTCTCCGCCATCAGCAGGTCGTCGGAGCCCGTCCTGCCCGAAGAGCCGCGCCGCGCCAAGAGGCCCGGGAACAGAGAGGTTCTGAACCGGGACCCCAGCCCGCCGCCTTCGTTTGTTCCAGAACCACCAAAGGTGAGCGGCAGATTTCAAACCTTCCAACTCAGGATGGGAACCGCAGCTCAACGCCTCGCTAAGCTGCTTCAATAAAGATTTGAGGTATTTTACGTGATGATGCTCCGTATTTTGCTTTAGAAAATATCCAAGATGGCGTCGCAGCAGAAGAGCTGCAAGATCTGTTTATTTTTCACCAAACAGACGATTCTGGGCCCAGTTGGAACAAGTTCAGAACTTTATCTTTATAAAAGGATGAAACCTCCAACATCCTCAAACAGTCGACCATTTTTGATCATCTAAAGTGTTTGATGCGTTGCTTAGCAACAGCGGTGACTCAAAGAGGGCGGGCCTTCCTGGTTTATGTCATATTGTATGAATAATCTACATCTCCATTTTTTGCAGCACAAAATTTAACTTTGGTCAGATTTGGTGATGCTGGTGGCTGGTTGACCTTTTGACTTTTAAGCTTTATTAAGATCTTCACAGCCGCAGCAGCACAAATTAAAATGTTTGCTGCACAAACGTAGCCGAGTTGATTGACACCAGATTTGTCTGGTTTGAAGACGGTGGAGGCTGGTTGACCTTTCATGACCTCTGGAAACATTTATTAATATCTTTAAGATGATATTTTAGCTGCACTAAGGTCCCATCATGAATGAATTCCCAGCGTCTCTCTCCCGGCTGCAGGTCCGAGCCCAGGCCCGGACCGACTCGGTGCGCAGCTACGAGTCCCACTCCAGCAGCACCATCAGCAGCATCGACGCGGTGGCCGCCAGCCGGCCGGCTCCCCCGCCGGTGGCCTTGAAGCCCAACATCGCCCGCCTGCACCAGGCCCCAGAGGAGCCGGCGCCGGCGAACCCGCAGGAGGAGGAAGACCCCGCCAACAAGTCCTTCCTGGGAAAGGTGGGAACACAGAACGACCCGTTTCCTTTAAGACTCGCTTTCTCACTGCCGTCTGCCTTTACGCTTCGCTTAGTAAACTTGTTTCCTTTTCTTCCTCTTTGCTTTTTCTCTCTTCCTGTTATGAAATAGAGAATGGCCAATCAGGTAACTCCACATGTCCACATCCTGTTTCTGGGTTCCTGCACAAAACTTTTCTGTTTTCTGGACTTAAGCAGAAGTTAAACCTGAATCCTTTGAGCTCGACACACTTTAAGCTTCTCACTCTTTGAAAATGATGCAGCTATGATAAAAAAAACTGTAAATTTAACATTAAACATAAAGTTTTACGCAAATATTTGAGAAAAATAATGTGGTATTTATGCTGCCTATAAACAAGAAGGCCATTGGTTGAGATTAATGCGAGTTAGTTTATTAACAAATAGTTTTACAATTTTAAAGATTTCCATTCCTTTCAGTTTGACATTTTACACAAAGTTAACAAAATAAAAGGTTTGAAAAGTCAACATATCCTGAATGAGATGAATAAGTTGGGATTAAAATGGAAAGTTTTAGCAGGGATAACTCAGTTTGTGTTGAATTTTAAGGTTTTACGTTCATTTTTTTGAAGCAAAAATGTTAAAACTAACAGTTGTGTATAAAATTGATCAAAATTTAGGTTTGTAAATTGTTGAGCTTTGGAGAAAATTGAGTTTTTGCTGGATTTAAGGTTTTGATTTGTTCCATTTTGGCAAAATTAGGCAGAAAATGTTTAAAACTTTGGAAATTAAAACAATTGACAACAATATTAAATGTAGCCATGTCTAAATGAGTTCAATATATTGGTAATTATAATGATTATAATAAGGAAATGGTTCAAGTGGCTGGAATAGTCGAGCTTTAGAAAAGAAAGTTTTTGTTTGATTTCATGGTAAAACTGTAATTTTATTCATGGCTGTTAAATTTCAGTGGATTTTAAAACTTTAACTTCATTAAAGTTTTTGAAGAAAATTTTACAACTTAAAACTATGAAACTAACAATCGTGTATAAAGTTTCTGAAAATATTGGTTGCTAAACGGTTTAAGTAAATGAAAACGATGAAATAGTTGAACTTGAACCAAGTTTTTTGGGGAATTTAACGTTTTTGATTTGTTTCATTTGAGCAAAATTAGAAAGAAACAGTTAAATATGTTGGAAATTGTAAAACAAAACAAAATTCAAAGTAGTAGTGTCTGAAATGAGCTGAATATTTTGGAAATTTAATTTAAAAATGGTTTAAACAGCTGAAATTAAGCTGAAGTAGTTTAGAAAACTGAATTTTGAACTGATTTTAAGGTTTTAGTTCATTTTAATGTGGTTGTTTTTTTCCTCTAAATATTGGTGAAAAGGTTTAATCAGCTTTAGAGGAAAACACGTTTAACTTTTTATTTGCTTTTGAGGTTTTAATTAGTTTCATGTTGGCAAAATTAGACAAAAAAACGACAGAGTTCAAAATGAGATGAAAATATTGGCAATTAAAATAAAAATTAATGAAAATGAGCTGAAATGCCAGAATGAATCATAAAAATAGACGTGTAGGAACCTGTGTCCATCAGTCACAACCAGCCCATAATCCTCCACTCACCATGTCGGCCATCTTTCTTTCTTCCTTCCACTAACTGAACCTCGTTTTCTTCCAGATCAAAGCCTTTGAGAAGATGGACCACCTGGCCCGAGCTCAGCGTCTTCTGGAGCTGCAGGAGGCGGAAAACGCTCGAGTCAGTGAAAACCCGCCTCTCATTTAGTCTGCATTCAGACCCGTTGAGGTTTCCGGGTCCGGCTGCCAGAACAATAGCTTCCTGAAAGGCTCCTCTGTGGTTTTGCTGCGATTCACTCTGACATTTCTGGGTCTGTTCCAGTTGGAAATCGCCCAGAAGCATCCAGACATCTACGCCGTCCCAGTGAAGCTGCCAAAATCCAACCAGAACCGCCCCCAGCCAATCGGGTCAGAGCTTTTTCTGTCTCATTTTCTACAGAAAAGGAAACGATTTAAATTCCTGTCAGTGGCAAGAATACAGGAAGAAGCACAAAGTGATTAAACCTTCACTTTGTTTATGTAAATCAAAATCAAAGCAGCAGAATCTCCTGGATATTTTTTTATAAAACATCTAATCAATAGACACATGATCAATATCAATAGATGATGCATCTGATAGGATATTCACTGAGCTCCAATCCAGAACTGCACAGCATTCTGGGAGATGTAGGCAGAGGAGGACGTTAGCCACTCGACCTTGCACAGCTAGCTAAGCTAGGCTAAGTTGGTGGAATCAACTGACTCTTTTGGTTGCCTAGCAACAAGCTGCTGGGTAGGAAGCAGTTTCAAACTTTGGTTGCCTAGCAACAACCTGCTGAGTAACGTTTGACTCTGTTTCAAGAATCGAAATTCTTTGACTTCTGAAGCTCAAACTTAAATATTTTTCTGGAGTTTTTTCGTTTTCCGTTAAACTTCTGAGTTTTTCCTTTTGTTTGTTTTTTCAGGAAAGCGTTTGAGGTTTTTCCTCACACTCTGCCCTCTGCTGTTGTCGGGGTGTTTTTGCTGCTAAAGTCATATTTTCTGTCCATGCTACCATTTTGTGTTTAGAAACAAACAGTTTTGTTCTCACCTGCCTGTTTTATCCTGTATTTCCCTTATTTTGTATATTTTCTACAGAAGAGTATTAACTCTGATATTCAGAGTTAAGAGATGAATTCTCTTTAGAGCTAAAATGAAAAAATGCATATTTTTAACCATGTTTGGGTCATTTTAGAGAAGTTTATCCATCGAAAACTTCTGGTGACTTTAATCCTGTAACCGCTGTAACAGTCGTCATTTTTAATTTTAATTTTTCCTGTTTTTCTGCTGATAATTTAAAATCTGTTTTAGTTGGACACGTCCACAAAGTTTCAGATTACTTTACTTCGCTTGTAAACTGCTGTGAAATTGAGCTGCAAACAGTTTGATTTAGCATTTTAATCACACTGCTGTTAAAATAATCATGTTTTTGCTGCTAAAGTCATATTTTCTGTTAAACTGGTAGACGGTGTCCTGTTTGCCCTTTTCCACCCGATCTGACTTGTTTCGTGTTTTCAGCTCGAACGCCGAGCCGCAGACGATGTCCAGGCCCGCGTACTCGGAGACGAGAGGAAACGAGGACACCGATGCGGAGTACCGCCGCCAGCTGGCAGATCAGACCCGGAGGGGATACTACAACCCCCAGAAGTACAAGGACACGGAGCTGTGAGGCTCCTGACAGGAAGTGAGGTCGTCCGACAGCTTCTGTCGCTCTCTGAACTTCTTTTTTCTCACATTCGGCTTCGAGTCCAGACTCTGTGGAAGCCGGTGGTGGCGTTAACCGCCACAGAGGAAGAAATGTCGGTCCTGATTTCCAGAGACGAAATGTTCAGTTTGGGTTTAAAAGCCTCCAGTGTTTCACCGGCGAGTCGAGGGTTTCTGGATCCATCACAGATATACAGCAGAAGTCTTAATTTTTGTTTTTCCTCCAAGCAGCAGATTAAAGGTTTTAAAGCTGGTTTGGTTGATATTCATCCAGAGTTTCTGAAGGTCTTAAAAAGCTGCAGGAACTAGAAAAGTTCCTGGAAGGTTTTCCTTCCAGTCAATTTCACCTCAAAGTCAAATCCAGAGCTGCTGCCTGATTCCACAAGATAAGAGATTCAATAATCATGTTCCACCGTCTAAAAGTTTTATTTCTATCTAAATATCCCCATAGAAAAAAAACTAAACAAGCAGTTGTTTTTTGTCTGTCATCTTAAAACAGGATTTGCATCAATTCACTTTTTTTCTTTTTTTTCAGCAATAAACATAAAATAGAGTCCAGATTCTAAAATTGAAACAGAACTGGTCTAAATTGGTCCTGGAATTGGCCCTGAGCTTATATATAGTTTAATAATTCCATTATTTCAGATTAAATTCCTTTACATCTCATATTTTCCAGTAATGGGAAACTTTAAACTATATTAATGAGGTAAAACATGATGAATGTCACGATTTAGACAACTTATAATCAAATATATGAATAAAAATAGTGGAGAAATTGATTTTTTTTCATTAAATTCAACGTGGATTGGCATTAACATTTTTTAAATCCCTAAAAAAATATGTTTTTAGGGATTCAATCTGGTAATTTCATAAAAAAAACAACTTTTATTTTGAATGTTATCTGTTTTGACACTTGCTGCCACCATCTTGTATTGATGCCTGGCTGCTGTTTTGTCTACATTTTCTACATTTTCTTTAGTGAAAATAAAAAAATGCACATTAATGGCTCATTTAATGAAGTTTACACATAAACTTCTGGTGACTTTAATTCTGTTTCACAGTGTAACCGCTGTGAAACAAAAACATTAAAATGTCTCTTTACATCAGTTTAATTGTGATTTTCTCGCTCTAAAAAAAACTAAACATTTTACAAAACTAAATTAAAATAAAGTTTCCTTTCCTTGCAGCTTGGAGTGACTTTACCTACAACACAAAGTATAACCGCTGTTTTTGTTTGTATTTTATTGCTCAAAATCACAAATTTAGTTTTTGCAGTTGGAACTTTTTTTTCCCAGTTTTCTGCAGATAATTTAAAATCTGTTTCTGTTTGACACGTCCACAACATTTTTAATGGCTTTGCTTTGCTTGTAAACCATAACTGCTGTGAAATTGAGCTGCAAACAGTTTGATTTCAGTTTTTATTCACACTTTGCTGCTGTCAGGGTGAATAAAATAATCATGTTTCTGCTGCTAGAATCATTTTCTGTCCGTTAAACTGGAAAAAGCTGCCAGAGTCCAAAGAAACATTCAGACCTTCAGAAATTGTGGCGATTTATTGATTGAATTATTCAGTTTAGAAAATCTGGATGCCTTGGAAGAAATGAGGGAAAACTCGAGACTTTTGTACAGAACTATTTATGTAATTTCAGCATATTTAAGTGTAAGTGAAATGATGAAATATTTACCGTCTCGTGTCACAATTTAAGCAGAAATCATTCCCCTAAAAACGGTTTAATAAACAATCAGAGGAAAAGTAGTTTTTCCCAGCGGCTTCTTGTTGATTTCCAGAATAAAACCCAGATTACTGGGGGAGACAGTTGCATTCTGGGTAGCAGAAAACTGTCGCGGTGCCTTTTTACTCCTGATTCTTGCTGGGAAATGAAGCTGCTGTCAAATTCAGAGGCTGGATGGAAAACCTGGAAGCATTCGGTTTGTTTTCCTGTTAAAAACTTAAAACAAAAACTTGATGTTTAAAATCCTCCTTGAAAAGTCAAACATTTACTAGAAAAAAATCTCGGTAATTTTCTTGAAAATCATGGAAATTGTTTTCTTTTCAAACTGAAACTTCCAAAAGTAATTTTTTTTTCTTCACTTTTGACACTCAGAAATGTCCAAATTTTTTCTAGAAAATTTCTGAGAATCTAAAAATGTCTTCGTTTTTTGTCGGAAATTAACTCCTGTTGTTTCCACCTAAACTGGCCGTAACGCGACGTTGTAAATTCCTGCTGTTACTGTTTTTATTGAGCCGATTCTTCAGTCTGGAGGGAACGTTTTCATTTATTTCTGGTTTCCTCTGGAACAAACCGAGCGAGGAATTTAAAAGGTTGTTTTGAGCCGAGACAATCACCTTTTTATTGCTTCTATTTTTATACTGACGATATAAACCCACTCTAGTCTGTTTGTGCACAGGAGGAAAGTGGCGACAATCATGATGTCTTTTTAGTTTGTGATTTATGGTTTTTGTAGTTTGTGATCTGAGTGTTTCACTTCTCACTCTTGGAAAATTCGGATAAATAAAACATTTTTTTTACACGTTCTAAAAAGTTTCGGTTCTGTTTTTGTGTCACTTTCAAACCTTTTGCAGGGGAAATAAAACGTGGGAGATGCTGGATTTTAAAAGGAACAGCTCAGGGTTTTGTTTCCAGATTTAAAACAATGTTAGAGATTGGAGTAGTTTCTAATGTTAGTATTTTAAATACCAATAGGGAAAAGTTTTATTAATATTTTAGATAATTTAACATTCACATGATGCTCAACATTCCTTATTTTATTATTTTTGTGTGTAGGAGTTGTCGTAGTATTACGACTTTATTCTGGTATTATTCTAACTTTACAATTACAATTTTTTTTGTATTTCAACTTACTGGTATACGACTTTATTCTCGTACAATATTTTTCCCGCCATATGACTCTCTTTCTGGTATTACTTTATTCTTAAGGTTATGACTTTGTTTTGATTTCTTGTATTCTGCCTTTATTCTGGCAATGTGACATAATTTTCGTATCACGACTTTTTTCTTTTAATATTGCAACTTTATTCTTGTATTTTGTGTTACTGTCGTACAATTTATTCTCATAAAATACTGACTTAATTCTCATACAAAATTTTTCTCGCAATATTGTGACTTTTTCTGGCCTTTATGTTCTAAAATCATGGCTTTAGAATTATAACTTAAATTGAGTTTATTCAAGTAACGTAACATTTTTGAGTTATTACAACAATTTTTTTTGTACGGTTACCGTTTTATTTTATTCTTGCAAAATTGACTTTTTGTCACATAACTGCATTCTGGTAGTGTGACTTTTTTCTGGAATTATTACATTAGTCTTGTAACCTTTGTATTTCTTAAGTTGTAGATTATTTACACATACAGTAAAATATTTATTTTATATTCAGGGGGAAATAAAAACAGCATAAAGGCTTGTTTAAGCCAAAATGTTGCCTTTTGATACCAATATATCTCCATATATTAAAGTTTTTTTTCTATTTATGATGGATTTAAGCATGTAACCTTCATTACCTCAGTAATTTACTTTTTCTTAATGAACAAAAGAAAACTGAATTCATTATATTTTCATACATTTATTCTGCAGAATTGTACATGCAATCCTCTTTCATATTATAGGTCCATCATGATTGAAATACATTCAGATATTACGGCTATTCAATCCGATCTAATATTGTCTCTGTTTGCAGCCTAAATATACACAAGAAAAAAAAAACAAACCCACAGATTATCTTTGGTCGAACCTAAAATGTCACGTTAACACTCGGCCTAAAGTGAGACGGTTTGCCTTCTGCTGCCACACCGCAGACGATTTACACGACAGTCAGCTGTACAGATTAAGGCAAGTCCAGTGAGATCGATCTGGAATGAGGGGTGGGGCTTAAACAGGGGGGTGGGGTTTAAACTGGGGGCGGAGCTTAGAGAAGAGCAGCTCAGATGTAGACGGGTTGCTCCTGCGCCGTCAGCAGACGGTACATGGCTGCAGGCATCGTCTTCATGTGGATCTGGAGAAAAAAGAAACCAAAACGTTGTTTGTATCTGGGAAAAATGAAAATTCTGCTCAAAATTAATCATTTACTTCGTCAGTTAGCAAAGCGGCTAATTACATCAACCCACTGTGGAGCGAATCTTTCAAATACTTTTATTTTCTCTGGTAATTTAAATTTCATCAGGGAAACCTTTGGCTTCTACTATAAATTATCTCCAGTTCCTACTGCTGGCTCTGATGGGAGACATTTTGTTCTGGAAACCAGTTCCAAACTGGTCTCCATTCTCACCTCTCCCATGGCGTTGGACAGGATCTGGACGATCTTTTCGTGAGGCGTTGCCACGACGCTCTGCCCGTTGATCTCGATGATGCGGTGGCCGACGCGGACGCCGCCACGTTCGGCGATGCCGCCTCTCATCAGGCTGCAGATCTGCAGGAAGAAGACGAAGAACGGAGAAACAAAACATCCATAAAATAATAAAAAATGATCTGAAACCCAAACTAATGGTTTTAAAGTTAAACCATTGACTTTGAAAGATGTTTTTGTTTCGTAGAAAGCATTTCTGGTCCAGTGTTTTTGTGTTGTTTTGCTGTCAATAGCATTGATTGAATTTTTTTTTTTTCATAGAAAGTAACTTCATATTCAGTTTTCTTTCCATTTACTTGTTTTTGAATCGTCTTTCTGGATGGAGCCACATATGGAGTTACTTTCTGAACACTTCCTATGTTTTTACTTTCCTATTAGAAAGTACACCTGGTCCAGGGGGGTTTTTCCTTCTTTTTTCCCCATTTCATTTCCAGACAGAACATTTGAAAGTTTTCTTTCAAACATTAATTTTTTTCTTTCCCATAGGAAGTATTCCTGGTCCACTCGTTTATTGTTTTGCTTTTAGTTCATATTATGATGTTTTGTTGTACAACTTTATTTTTGCATTCTGAATTTATTCAGTGAATGACAATTTTTCGTATTACTAAGACTTAATATTGACTTTTTTTTCTGGTGTTACTTTATCCTCAAAGTTATGACTTTGTTGTACGACTTCTCATGTTATTCAGACTTTATTCTGATATGACATAATTTTCGTATTATGACTTCCAGTTTTTGGTTCAGAGCTGATTGTTTGAAACAGAGATCTTTTAAACACTTTTGGTTTTCTTTCCCACAGAAAGTACCTCTGTGTGGTTTTATCATCTACTTCCTGTCCTTTGCTGTTTCTGCTAAAGTTCTGTTCGTTTTCGTTACTTACGATCCCGT